GAACCTTTGAAGAACTGCTGGACAGAGCTATCTATGAATATAAATACACTTTTCATTCTGTAACGAACCAACGACCACTAGAAGTGTTTTTTGGTAGAGCTGTGACTACAAACCCGGAACTATATAAAAAAAACTAGACAAAAAAATATTGACAGACTTAAACAGAAACAAGAGAAAGAGTTACAATACCACAACAGGAACAAAAATACTTTGCGAACATACCGACCTGGCCAAAAAATATTTGTAAAAATCAATAGTAGACTAGGATCAAAATTATCAGCAAAATACAAAAAGGAAATTGTAAAAGAAGATCATAACACAACAATAACTACAGAAACTGGTAGAAAAGTACATAAAAGTAATATTAATAATGTTTAATCAAAGAGGAAAATGTCGACATAAAATACGCAATAAGTTTTTGTTTGATCGAAGAAACACACAAAAAATTTTAAAACATTAAACTAAAATGTCAACTAAACTTTTGTTAAAAGATCTCCGATGTAAAAAGTAACATATTTAATAAGGCTGATTGCGAAAGACTTATGTCATGAATTGTCAAAGATATAACGTTACCATTTAGACTTCTAATTATAATGTAAACCGTAAAAGAACCATATTGTCTAAAGCTAAAAAAAAATGAAAAGACGCTCGAGGACAAGTTCCAATTAAATGGGGAGGAGTTAAGAATAATAAATTGCAGCATGTTCTGAAGTGGGCGTTTTACGGCTCCATAGGCTCACTCGGGCTGATAACGATCTGCACAGCTTCTGACGTCGTGTGCCGAGGCCGAACACGCATTGTCGTACGACCTGAACACGCTGTGCATTTCGTATGACCTGAACACTTTGTCCATTCGCACTTTTATAAAAGAGCCGAGCTTAGCGCTACGTCCTTAGTCTTAAGCTTTCCCTCAAAGAGATAAGTCTTCAAAATTTTCAATGAAAACAGGCAGTAAAATAAAATATTATTAAACAAAATACAAGTTTTAACTTACATATATACCCTACCTGTTCATATCCATTTGGGCTATATTGTGGACAGTTACTTTTACTCCAATGCTGTTCCATTCGAAATAACTGGAATCGGGAGATCCATGAAATGGGGTTAAAACTAAAAATGATTGCCAACAAATTATTGTTTTCGACTTTTCCTGAGTTTTTAGAGTCAAAATTTCGGGAAAATGATCAAATTTGAATTTGAAAGCTTAATATCTTCTAGACGTTAAGCTGCAGCTACAAAGTGTCTGGGTCGGATTTATAGCTGCATTTGTCAGCTTTTCAGAACTGCAAAGCAGATATAAGATATATACTTAAGTTATGTGAAAAATAGAAGCACTACCTCTGAAAAAAAACATAAAAAAAAAACTTCAAAAATTCTTATAAAACAATTAACCATAAAAAAAACAATAATTCCTTAAAAAAACTGTAGCCCGAAATGTATCAGGAAAATTTATTTTGGGGCACAGCGGGAAAAATTTGTTCGAGTAGTGTAATTAGCAGATAAATGTTAATAAATACCCAAAGACAAATACAAAAAAAATATACACATAAACACAATTGCAGCACATTAACATTAATCTCTGTGGTTAAATCTCTTATTATAGCTAAAATTGATTTTGCACTGCCATTTTATGGATCCGTCTCAAAAAGCTCTCTAAAAAAAATATGCTCAATTCTTCATGCAGGAGTTAGAATTGCATTAGGCGCATTTCGAACAGCTCCGATACGAAATCGTAGGTACGAGTCTAATATTTCGCCCAAAGATACTAGAATAGAACAGCGGTCCGCGAATTTATACACTTCCATAATTAATAGCTCCGACTCGCGTATTTGTAATGTAAAAAACAACTAAAAGGCTTAAAAAAACGTAAGTTCTAGATAGAATTATTTCCACTCACAATTCCTTAGAAATAAAATTAAAGCCTTCGTAAAAAACTTATCCAAAAAGCACATCTCTTGGCATTAAACCCAAAGTCACTTAACACCTCCCTGAAGAGAAATAACGAATTTTAGCTCCACCGTCTCTCCATAGATTTTAATGAACAATACCTTTAACGACGCTTAATTAATGCGTCTATCTAAAAAAGTCAGTATATACATTTTTGAGCTTATGATTTTTTAGAATTATTGAATTTAAAAACAAAATTTTAAATTTTACATTTTTTTGCTACATCTGTTATCTACATACTACATCTACAATGTATATTATACATCTAACATGTAGATTCTACATGTAAAATTTAGATTCTACATCTCCTCCGCCAGCGGTCGCTCTCGTACATAACGCGGCAGAGTGTGCGAGCGAGAAAGATAATGAGTAGCGGGTCTCTATCTGAAGGATGCGCGGGAAGCAACTGAAAATTAATTTCTTCATTCTGGCTATAATTATGAACTGATCTGATTCAGATTCGGCAATCTGGTATATATAGTCATTCTCTACGATACTGCGTTTTTAGTGTTATCGTATCTTTAAAATTGTGCCTGCCACAGATTGTCGTCTTTTGTGGGGGGCGTGATATCACAACAGTCTGGAAACCAAATTTGGTTGCCCTAGCTCTTATAGTCTCTGAGATCTAGGCGCTCATCAAGACAGACAGACGGACATGGCATCCATAATATTAAAGATATGATAAAACGATAAAACGCAGTATCGTAGAGAATGACCATATCTATCAGACAGCCAAATCTGGATCAGATCGAATCCTTATTATAGCCAGAATGAAGAAATTAATTTTCAGTTGCTACCCCCACCTTCTCCGGCGCTGCTGACGCTAGTCATTCTATGTACCCGAGCGCCCGCTGGCGGATAAGATGTAGATCTACATGTTAGATTAAAAAATCATAAGCTTAAAAATTTATATACTGACTGAGTACGGGTATAAAAGTAGAGTCGCGTCCCCAGAAGTGACTCACACGTTCCTTCTCGTTTTTTTTTGTAAAGGCACTTATTGTTTGTTCAATAAAAAATATGTTTAGCCGCCATTTTTGGCGGCTTCATGTTTCCGCTTTTTTTTGTATATGTCAACAAAATTTTGCAGTTCCTGACACAAACATAATAAACCCTTGCGTTAGGTTTTAATATTCAGTTAAAGCACATTTATTATATTTAGATCTAGGATTTTATTATACGTATGCTATACATACCCATCATGTTGGTTTATAATTTTTCCCCTGCCGCTCAAATCGTAAATTCTTGTAACACCCACAATTTTAAATGGACGAGAACACGCAGAACAATATTGAACTATCTTTTCTAAAAATTTGTAGAATATGTTAACTATTGGATCTTGCTATAGACAGAATTAAGCAACAATTTCCTATGATTGATTCTCCTCGTGCCTAGAAGTTAACAGTAGAAGATGAGTTTTCTCGTCTGGCATGTACTCAAAGATAACTGTTTAGCTTTTTAACTGTTTACTGTTTAATTGTATACAATATATGTACAATGTACATACGGCTATATTAAAGCATATGCTCCTTACATTAATTGTATTAATGTACATATGTGAAAGATCCGAAGCAGACTATTTCACGTGGATCCAATAAATTGCCTTAGCCGGCATTTGCTGATTAGACACCTGTCAAAGGGGCTAGTACGATTATCTGATCGGCTCGAAACAATTACGAAATCGTCCAGACACAGACCTTGGTGATAATAATATAGGGTAGACTTTGCTATCAGCTGCACTTTAAACGGCTGAGGCTCCACTGAGAAATGTTTTAACACACATGATGATAGACGGATTTTCGAATTTGGCTCTGCTAAAAACCCACTCACGGTCCACTAGTGGATCAGACATTATTTTGACCAGCCCACAATGGTTTTTTCCCTTTTTTTTTTGGCATAAACTCAAAATTTAAAGCTATTGAGTTAAAATTTGGTTTGTGTACATATTTTAAGGTTCCAAAAATACCAATCAAGTTTCATATGATTTCCAGTACTATTTCATATAGCTGCCATATACCCGATCTGGCTGACTATTTTGTTTATAAAGATATTGAAGTGAAAATTGGCTTGTATACAAATTTTACGGTCACAAGACCACCTACTAAGTTTCATAAGATTTTGAGCACTATTTCATATAGCTGCCATATAACCAATCTGGCCGACTTGCAGCGAGGTGTTATATTACACTTCAGCAAGAGTGTATTAATATAATTGACGAGGGCTTTCACTTTTTTATTATACCCGTACTCAAAAAGAGTTAAGGGGTATATTAGATTTGTGGTAAAAGTGGATATGTGTAACGCAGAGAAGGAAACGTTTCCGACCCCATAAAGTATATATATTCTTGATCAGCATCAATAGCCGAGTCGATAGAGCCATGTCTGTCTGTCCGTCTGTCCGTCTGACCGTCTGTCCGTCTGTCTGTCTTGTTGAGCGCCTAGATCTCAGAGACTATAAGAGCTAGGGCAACCAAATTTGGTTTCCAGACTCATGTGATATCCCACTGCTACAAGTGTATTTCAAAATTTCGCCCCGCCCCCTTCCGCCCCCACAAAGAACGAAAATCTGTGGCAGGCACAATTTTAAAGATACGATAAAACTAAAAACGCAGTATCGTAGAGAATGACCATATCTACCAGACTGCCGAATCTTAATCAGATCGGATCAAAATTATAGCCAGAATGACGACATTAATTTTCAGTTTGCGCCCCCCCCCCCACCCCACCAGAAAACGACAATGCAACTCATTTTCCTTCTCGCTCGCACACTTCTACATACTAGATGTGGAATATACATTGTAGATGTAGATGTAAATAACAGATGTAACAAAAAAAATGTAAAATGTAAAATTTTTTTTTTTTCCTAAAATTCTAAAAAATCATAAGCTCAATAATGTATATACTGACTGAGTACGGGTATAAGTAGAGTCGTGTCCCCAGAAACGACTCACACGTTCCTTCTCGTTTATATATTATGTTTATAATAAATGCTGGTCATTTAAATGTTTTTGAGTGATAGTTTGAAATATGTGCTGCTGTTCTGCGTCTTATGAGCGATTGTTTTGCTCCAAATGTCTACACATATTGTACTAGAAAAATTCGATTTGTTCTAAAACGTGTGAATTCGGAGTAAAAGCGTTAGTGCCTCATTAATCTGCATACTTTGGGAAATAACTACTCACTTAAAACTCTTTGCTAATCTTTGCTATGCAAAAGTACTGATCCACGAAACACAACTTAATTTGTTAAGGTCAATTTAAAACTACACATAGACAAAACACGTCACAATTGGACATAACATAGACACAAATATTTGTAAACAAAATTTTTAAATACCTGGACAATCGTTTTCCATAGCAAGCTATCAAAGTTGTAAAATTTTACCCGCCAATTTCATACAAAACACGTGGTACAATATCAGCTGACTTTAACAACGCGCTTAGTGCTCCACATGTTCAAGTTAAATATAATTTCATCTAGCTAGGGTGTGTAGAAATAAAAAATTGAAACAATTTTAAATAACTAAACAAAAAACGAGAAGGAACGTGTGAGTCGCTTCTGGGGACGCGACTCTACTTATACCCGTACTCAGTCAGTATATACATTTTTGATTTTGATTTTGATTTGATATTTTAGAATTTTACATTTTTTTGCTACATATGTATGTTATCTCCATCTACATCTACAATGTATATTCTACATCTAACCTGTAGATTCTATATGTACCATTTAGATTCTATATCTTCTCCGCTCGAGGGAGCTCGCGCACTGAACGCGGCAGAGTGTGCGAGCGAGTAAGAGAATGAGTAGCGGGTCTCTTGCTGAAGGAGGCGGGCGAAGCAACTGAAAATTAATTTCTTCATTCTGGCTATAATTATAATCCGATCTAATTCAGATTCGGCAACTCGGTAGATATGGTCATTCTGTACGAGACTGCGTTTTCAGTTTTATCGTATCTTTAAAATTGTGCCCGCCACAGATTTTCGTTCTTTGCGGGAGCGGAATGGTCGGGCGAAATTTTGAAATACACTTGTAGCAGTGTGATATCACATTCGTCTGGAAACCTAATTTGGTTGCCCTAGCTCTTATAGTCTCTGAGATCTAGGCGCTCAACAAGACGGACAGACAGACAGACGGACAGACAGACGGACATGGCTATATCGACTCGGCTATTGATGCTGATCAAGAATATATATACTTTATGGGGTCGGAAACGTTTCCTTCTCTGCGTTACACACATCCACTTTTACCACAAATCTAATATACCCCTTAACTCTTTTTTGAGTACGGGTATAAAAATAGACAAAAAATACATTTTAACAAAAATTCAACCCCTTTTCGTTTGCTCTGTTTCCAATTGGCAGTTGGGCCCGCAACATTCCAATAAGTATTTTTTGTTTATTTTTCACTTTTGAGGTTTGGTTAACGAATTTTAGCTCCACCGTTTCTCCGTAGATTTTAATGAACAATACCTTAAACGACGACTAATTAATGCGTCTATCTAAAACTAACGAGAAGGAACGTGTGAGTCGCTTCTAAAGACGCGACTCTACTTATACCCGTACTCAGTCAGTATTTACATTTTTGAGCATATGATTTTCAGAATTTAGAATTAAAAAAAAAAATTTTACATATTACATTTTTTTGCTACATCTGTTATCTACATCTACATCTACAATGTATATTTTACATCTAACATGTAGATTATAGATGTACTATTCATATTCTACATCTTTTCCGCTAGGGGTTGCTCGCGCACTGAACGCGGTAGAGTGTGCGAGCGAGAAGGAAAATGAGTTTCGTTGTCGTTTGTGGGAGGGGGGGCAGGGGAAGCAACTGAAAATTAATTTCGTCATTCTGGCTATAATTATGATCCGATCTAATTCAGATTAAGCAGTCTGGTAGATATGGGCATTCTCTACGATACTGCGTTTTTAGTTTTATCGTATCTTTAAAATTGTGCCTGCCACAGATTTTCGTCTTTTGTGGGGGCGGAAGGGGGCGGGGCGAAATTCTGAAATACACTTGTAGCAGTGGGATATCACATGAGTCTGGAAACCAAATTTGGTTGCCCTAGCTCTTATAGTTTCTGAGATCTAGGCGCTCATCGAGACAGACAGACAGACAGACAGACAGACAGACAGACAGACAGACAGACAGACGGACAGACAGACATGGCTATATCGACTCGGCTATTGATGCTGATCAAGAATATATATACTTTATGGGGTCGGAAACGTTTCCTTCTCTGCGTTACACACATCCACTTTTACCACAAATCTAATATACCCCTTAACTCTTTTTTGAGTACGGGTATAAAAATGCATGCCAAGAAAAAATTTTTCGACTTTTCCCGAGTTTTTAAAGTCTAAATTTTGGGAAAAATACCGCAAAAAAATGATGAAATTTGAATTTGAAAGCTTAATATCTTCCAGGTGTTAAGCTGCAGATACAAATGGTCTGGGTCGGATTTATAGCTGCGTTTGTCAGCTTTTTAGAACTGGATAGTTATATGCAACCAGATATAAGCTACTTAAGTTATGTGAAAAATAGAAGCACTACCTCTGCAAAAAACCATGAAAAAAAATAGCATATTTTAAAAATTCTTTAAAAAAAAATGACACCATAAAAAAAATAATAAAGTACTAAAAAAAATTTTGAAATCCCGAAATCTATCAGAAAAAGTAATTTTGGTTCACAGCCTAAATCAAAAGTTCAATTTTGTCGAGTAGTGTTATTAATTAAATATTTATTATCAAAGTAAACACATTTTCCACCGCACAAAATTGTATGCATCAGCTGTTTTTCCATGGATGGTGCCAGGTCCCAGTCGGAGTTTCACATCTGTCAAAAATTACCACCGATCCTCATAGATGTGCAGTGTGGGAAAGCTATTATACATATAAGAATATATAAACAATTTGTAATATATTTTTATATTTAAAATGAGAAATATGTGAGCGGTAATTCAAACACTTGGAAAATGTATATACCATAACGTTTTTGACTCAAGAGGTTTCCCCAATCCCCCCAAAAAAATTCGTATACGACACAACATCTTAGGAGGTTCCATTTCAACGGACACTTTTTTTCGGAGCTCAGATTTCAGCCTTGTGTGTAGTTCTTTAAAATGTTGGTCATCGTTTATTTAACCTTTTTATTAAAATTATTCACATTTTTCTCCGTTAATTTCAGGAAAATATCATCGTAATATGGTTCCTGGTCCTTGCCGAGGTGGCAAGTTTTTAGCTCGGCAGCGGAATGGCAATCGTAAAATGAAAAGAAAGGAGTTGAATCCATTAAAATCTTAATTTATGCAGATGCAGATAAATAAGAAATTCAATAACCTTTCCAAAACTGTTTTCCTTCTATGAGTGAAATGTGTTCTAGCGGTGGGTGTTTTATTTGCGTCGGTGTTTATTTGCTTATATCAACACTCACTCATATTTATCTAATGCACGCTCGCTAATCGAAGATTCGGCTTTGCTGAGTGGCTTGCACACTGAATTGTCGTATTTTTTGAGAATAAGGACAATGTTCACAATAAATATTAAAAAGGGGAAGTACCGACTATTAAAAGCTTAAGTTTAAAGTTTGGTGCCTTTACCTTGCGCAGTTTATTTTTTGGTCGCTCTGAATTGATTTGCATTTTATTTTAGGCAAAATATGGCCACTAACCTTACAGTTTATTGATTTATCATTTCATACAATCTAAGCTTCCCAACAGAAACACGTGCCTAGCAACGGGAGATTTTTAAGCTAATGGTATGAACATCCGTGCCCAAATATTGCTAAGACTCAATAACAATCTATATATGACGGATATATTTTTACTTGATCCTTTTAATAAAACCCATGGATTCGGGGATGATTATTTTTACTTTAAAAATCGCGATAGAAAAGCTCTTCAAACTGCAGAAGGCCAATATATAGTATTATTCCTCTGCTAATACTTATGAATGGTCGTCACTCTATGTGCGAATATGTATTCATACTAGAGTGGGCCGAAAGTCAAAATTTTTTTTTAACTTAAGCCGCCCCAGTGCACTGGGCACTGCAGTGATAGAAAAGGATTTGTTAAGGGATTGGAAATCGGTTAACGTCTGACCCTTGCGCATCGAGGTCAAAATATTCGCTTTTGGCCAAGTTAGGCAAAGAGTATATGCTCAATTCGGGAGTCTATACTCAAAAAAAAAAAATAACGACGCGACTCTACTTTAGTCAGTATATAAATATGTGAGCTTATGATTTATGTAGTATTTAAAAATATTTTATCAGTTTACATTTTTTCCCTACATCTGTCATTAACTCTACATATACCATGTAGAGAGATTCTACATCTCTTTCTGCGAGCGAGAAAGAGAATGAGTTGCGTCAGCAGCGACGGAGAAGGTGGGGGTAGCAACTCAAAATTAATTTCTTCATTCTGACTATAATAATGATTCGATCTGATCCAGATTCGGCAGTCTGATAGATATGGTCATTCTCTACGATACTGCGTTTTATCGTTTTATCATATCTTTAATATTATGGATGCCACAGATTTTCGTCTTTTGTGGGGGCAGAGCGAATTTTTGACATACGCTTTTGGCAGTGTGATATCACTTGAGTGTGAACACAAAATTTGTTTTTTTAGCTCTTATAGTCTCTGAGATCTAGGCGCTAATCAATATGGACAGACGGACAGACAGACATGGCTATATCGACTCGGCTATTGATGCTGATCAAAAATATAAATATATAACTTATGGGGTCGGAAACGTTTCCATCTCTGCTTTACACACATCCACTTTTTCCACAAATCTAATATACCCATTAACTCTTCGAGTACGGGTAAAAAAATTATTTGCCTTGGTTTCACGCCTTTCACGTGATTGCTCTCTCTCGCTCTCTGTATATCACACACATATTTAAATATTTATATATATACATACATATGTACATATGTGGACTAAGCGGTATGGAAACAGATGAGATGCGTATTCAAAAATTTATTATTTTCAAATATGTCTTTAGGTGGAAAGAGGATAAGAAATATATTTTTATAAAATCAAACCTTAAAATGTTGAGTCCTAGGGCTAAAACTTCAGAATCGGAACACTAGCCCCATGTAAAACAGAACCCCTTCTAAGGAAGGAACATTTTGGGATCTGATCGGAAAAGGTCTATTTTTTTGACAAGCTGTAAGTTTGTTTGTGATTGACTTCTTGGATTTCGAGTTTGTAATTATTCATATCACTGTGATCGATGATACGATTCCGCGTATTTAAAACTTGAATTATCTTAGTTAAACGGAATTACTACGGTGTCAACGAAATACACAAACAAAAAACCCGTTCTTTTATACCTTTTGTCCAACGGGTATCTATGTAGCTTCTAATGCTAAATAATTCCTAAGTGAATTTAGCTTTTTGAAGTGTAATGGCGATTAATGCCAACCGTGGCCCCCATATAATATTCATATGTTTTTGAGAATCCGTAGATGGTTTCACGTTTGCTGATTGTTACTCAAGCACTCTTATAAATCATCCATAGCCATATTCGATCGATCTGTTTATGTTTTGGTTCATTATTATAATTCTTTTCTATGCATTGCCTAACAACATTAATCGGATCAAAGTCCAGGCGGTTGCTCAAGAGTTCTACTTAACAAAAGCGAATTCGCTATACAATATAAATAACAGATTCTAAATATTCAGAGCCTTACACGTTTCTCGACCAATAAAATTTCAAAAATGCTTTTATCTCAGTCCAGACTGATGATATACTGGGGCCTTTTTATAGCAGATTAGGTCTAGAGACAAAATAGTCTAGGCGAATATGAAAAGAAAATGTGGGTGTGGATAAAGGGAAATGGAATACTAGGAACTTCATCGGGATGATTTTATTTTGTAGAAAAGCATAGTCATACCCAGTGTTTACCAAATTCGTCCGATAACTTTACTAGCAGACTTAGCCAATCTTGATCAGACTGCGCTAAGGTAGCCAATCCAATCGGCTCTTCAGATAATAGATTACCTATTAATTGCTCCGGTGCTTTTCCAGATCTACGGAGTGTTCTGTGGTAATAACGACTATGGACGACCTTCCCTTATCGGTGTCGAAGCCCTCGGACATAAAAGCAGAAAAATTCTGTTAGTCAAACAATCAATCGCTAACAACAGACCCAGAGACATGGGTACCACAAGTCTAGTGCTCCAGTTAATGCTGTGTTCCCTGGCGCTCGTCAGCGACAGCGCCAGCTCCAGCGTCAGCCTTGGCCTTCAACCCATACCCATGGCCACAGAGAATTATGTGGCCGCATCGAGACTGCGTCGCTTAGCGGTAGAGTTTTTTGACTACTATCAGAATATTACTCTGGCGGACATGGCGTTGGATATGAATCGGGATCAGCATGCGCTTCCTTCCGCGCTGGATCTAGAATGCCTGGCGGACTTGGCACTACTAACACAGGATCTGGAATCAGCAGAAATCTGGGCCCTCAGAAGTAAATTTCATTGCTGCTTTGATACGTGGATTCACTTTGATACACTATGTTTTTGATTTGTTTAATTTTGCAGTGATTGACTCGTGGGGCTCGTTGCCTTCAGGAATCCTCTACGGAAACTTGAGAGATCTTGGAAACTACGACGAGTGTCTCAACATTGATCACGTTGTCACCACAAGTCACAGCGTCCAGGGAAAGTACTGCTTTGCCAAGGTCTCGCTCGCCCCGAGCTTATCTTCGCGACTCAGCATAAAGACAGCGGTCTGCTTTCCTGCATCCTGCTCAACTGCTCTCATGGACACGATGCTGCGACGGCTGTTCGAGAAGTTGCTCAACGTGGAAATTGATACGGACATGCAGTTGGTGAATGAGAACACGTGCAAGACTGCCCAGAAGGAGCCCTATGATGGCCTCACCATATTCACCATGTATGTCCCATTCTATGGTGATATTGCTTGGTTTATTTTCTTACTCTCCGCATTGCAGAGTCGTGTTGTCGGTGTTGTGTGCTCTGATGGTCCTGTCCACGTTGTATGACTATTTCTTCGTTAAGGATCAGAGTAAGTGACTGAGAAGTAAGAGAACCAAGTTTCATTTTAATTAAGCGAATGCTTTAATCTTTTTTTCTTAGAAAAACTTTCCCCGCTGGTCAAGGCCTTCTCAGCGCGTGCGAACTCGCGTGTACTCTTCCGGATTATAGACACCAGATCGAACCCCAATATTATTGACTGTCTTCACGGAATGCGCTGCCTGTCCTTCATCTGGGTGGTCTACGGACATGACTATGTGGTGGCTGCTATGGGGCCCAATTTGAACTTTATCCAAGCATTTACGGTAAGCACCGACCAATTGCCAACAAAAGTAAAATTGACGCTCAACTCGAATTTCCTTGGCATAGTGGACCCAGTCTGCCTACAGCATGCTGATACAGCATGCGCTTTACTCGGTGGATACCTTCTTCTTCTTGAGCGGACTGTTGCTCGTGGTAATCGCTCTGCGCACAATGGAAAGGTAGGTTTTAACTACCATCATGCTTGTGTTTAGCATATTAATCGTTCGTATGATGCTTAGAACAAAGGGAAAGCTCAACATACCCATGATGTATTTGCATCGCTATCTGCGACTTACACCCGTTCTTGCCTTGGCCATTATCATATACATGAAGATCTTGCCCATTGTAGCTGACGGACCGCTTTACGGTTCAGTTACTTTCGACAATTATACCGTCTGCGAGGAGACCTGGTACTGGTCACTCTTGTATGTTCAGAACTACGTCACGGACAAAATGGTAAGTTGCCCAAGACGATGCAATAATGACATGAAGTCATCTGATGGTGTTTCGAAATCTTCCAGTGCTTGGGTCATTCCTGGTATTTGGCTGTGGACATGCAGCTCTACATTATTTCACCTCTCCTGCTGATTGCATTGTACAAGTGGGGAAGAAAGGGAGCGGCAGCCATTTTTGTTTTAATGCTGCTACTGGCTTCGGGCCTCTTCGTCACAATGGTGATTGGCAAGCACTCCATGTAAGTGAGGACAGGACGTAGAAAATCGGTGGAAACAGATGAACCAGTTATTTAAATCTGCTTCATTGCAGTTTTTACCAAACCAACGATGCCATGCAAAAGATCTACTTCTCCACGCACACACGGGCCTCGCCCTATCTTATCGGTATCCTCTTCGGTTACTTCGTGCACATGAACCGGGGCAAGTCTGTGAAGCTGAACCGCATTGTTGTCTTCCTGGGCTGGATGGGAAGCCTGGCCCTGCTCTTCACCTGCATTTTTGCGTTGTATGGGTACCACAACAACAACGAATCACCGCCTATATTGAATGAGGCCTTCTACCTGACACTCACACGCATTGCGTGGCCCCTGGGGCTGTGCTGGGTAGTGTTCGCCTGCATGCACGGCTATGGCGGCCTGGCCAACAGCTTCCTCTCGTCGCCACTGTGGCAGCCCCTTTCGAGGCTTTCCTATTCTGCCTACATCTTTCACATGTTCATCGAAAGCCTCAACGGCGGCATTACGCGCACCAACACCTTCTTCAGTGACTACGAAGTGGTGAGTTCAGATAGCATTTGATTGTGTGGAGACAACTGATGACTGAAATTTACCTCATTCTAGATGCTTCGCTTCTGGGGCGACTTTGGTTTCACTCTGTTGCTCGCCTTCTTCATGTACATCCTTATCGAAGCACCCTTCGGTAATCTGGAAAGCCTATTGCTGCCCACTCACAGGACCAAGGAAAAGCCCGTCCTCGTCACGCAACACAAGACTGGTGAGGCCATCGAAGCACCACCTGCACCTGTTCCTACTCTTATGACGAAGTCACCCCTGCCTGAAGTAAGAAGCAAAGAGGCTGCGCACACGAACAATTAGGTTTTAATTTTAGATTTCCGTATTTATGATAGTTCTAGAATTTTGTTCATTTCTATAAGTAAATTAAATAAAATAATGTTTATGCCGAAAATTTGTTCACTTAATGATACATATGTATGTACATATTTTGTATATGTATGTATGTATGTATGTATGGACACATGTAAATCTCTTACAATTGTAATTCAAATTAAAAATCTAAAAGATCTCTTCGAAGGGGCCAGAGATTGACATTCCAACTGACTTTGAATTCTAAATGACACAGCTGGCTCTCTCGGTTGTTTTCAGAAATCTCTAGTACTATGACTAGAGATTTGGTTAAAAACACTGTTGTGAGCTGTCGGGTTTTTCCGGCCGCCTGAATAAAATATGTCTAATTGTCTTTATTCTCGACAATTTTCAAATTACGATAATTCAAGTCGTCTTCGTGACACAAGGTTAAAACAAATGTCCATAAGTACATACATACATATGCATAAGTAATTGCAATGGTCTTTGGACCAAGCTGCATTGCGTAACGTGCAACCCACGGAGTAGGAAAGATGTTCCTTCCTAGCTTGGACGGCACGCAAAATTGCATTCCGGCTGCTGGCTACGAGTGTGGTGCTCTTTTAAAATGGTCATAAGCTAATGCCTACCCTATTATTATCTAAAAATTCTAAAGCGTGCACAAAACGACAAAGCCGTAATCAACCGGACGGAGAAACACAACACCTTAAACGGAAGACAATACCTACAGTAAGAACACATATTATTCGGACACCCTTGTCACTCTAGTTTAAACACCTATAACTTGGCGTACGGTTAAGTTAAACAGAAAAGATCAACATTTCTACTATCCGTTCACAGAAAAATATTTAAATTTTCTACTATGGTATCCTTATAAAAATGAACTTAAGCAAAAAAGTAACTATTTAACGCACAATTTTTGCTTATGGTTATGAAAATTTAGGTTTATATTTAATGTCATTCTACGATTGCCATTCCGTTGCCGAGCTAAAAACATTCCACCTAGTTTTTTCTTAAATTTAGTTTTATTCGGAGTTTTAAATTCCAATGATTATTCGCATTCAATGGTACTAAATAAAAGATATAAAATAATAGCTTTAATTCACTTCATTCCCATTTTAAACCGTGGAAAATTAAGTGTGGAATTCATTTTGAGTTGGTAACGTGGGATCGTGTGTAGGTAAATTTCTGTTTGAAATTCAAAAAAATGTATGATATTTTCCTGAAGTTTATGGAGAACGAGAGAACTCTGAGAGTCGGTTCTGCTGCCGCAGCTCTACTTTTATACCCGTACTCAGTAAGTATATACATTTTTGAGCTTTTGATTTGTGTGGAATTTTCAAATATTTTATCTGTTTACATTTTTTGCTACATCTGTCATCTACATCTCTTTTCGTACACCTCCGATAGAGGGCGCACACTGCAGGCAGTGCTAGCGAAATAAAACAAATTTTGTTTTCAAAAAATATTTTCTTCACAATAGTCGCGGCGGTTGCACGGGAAGCGTCGCCATCTTCTGCTGCTGCTGGCTATCAGCATTCCTTTGCCAATAAAATATTGGGGAGCCCAGGATATGCTTGGGGAAGAGCGACCCCAGCCGAAGCAGGCATTTCATTAACTTTGTTTACTTTAAACAAAACCAAACAGCTGTCTAAGCAGTATAGCCGCGCGGAATGCAGTGCGCAGCTCTGGTCACACCAGAAAAATATATGGCACAATTTGCTAGCAACATTTTTTTGGAGCTGAGTACTAGGCTGAAAGTCCCGTACTCAGATCAGCTTAATTTGTTGTCAACCGAATCAGGAATGATATTCGTATGGAAACGATAAGAAATAATCCCTGCTTTTGTTTGACAAAAAATTTAGCGGCTTGCTTTTAGCAGACGAGTACTCAATTCCGAAAACAAAAATTTGAATAGATACTAAAAAAGCAACCGATGGTATTCCATATGTATATGTATACACACACCCTCATATTCAAAGAAAACAAAAGAAATAGGCGCAAGCCGGCAAGAAAAAAGAAAACAACAACCATATATGTACATATGTATGTATTTCGCTTGGTGCCCAGTGCAACCAAAGTGGGCAGAGTGCATGCTCTACTGTTTTGTATTTTTTTACAAATAGAATCTGTTAAAATTCCCTATTTTGTGTGAAAGAAAGTAAAAATGTCTTATTTTTGGGCGCTGTGGAGCTGAACGACGACAGTGCAAACTGCAATATTGGATAAACCCGTTCCTGGGGGACAGAAAAGCCATAAGCATGTTTTTTATCTCCTTATATATTAAGAAAATGTGTACCAGGTATACAATTAGTAAATTATAATATCCATCTAGTTAGCATTCATTCGACTGCCTTAATTAGATTAAATTTGTATTTATTATTGCACTTTACGCTGCTTTTTCGCTTGTTTCCTTCCATTTTTAACGTGTATGTGTGTGTTTGCTTATGTCGATAAAAGATAGAATAATTCTTTATTCCGCTCGAGATGGGAAAATATCATCATCATATCTATCGTCCTCTTTTTCCTTGAACTGAGTACTGCCCGCCGTACCGACCCTAGCAAACACATTTTGCTTGAAGATATTTCGTATCGGTTTCATACGAATATCATCCCTGATTTTGCTAGCCTACACTTTTATCGGATCTGGGTATTTGGCTTTGAAAAATATTTCGATGCATCAAATAATTTCTAAATTTGTTGTCGCAAAAAAGGCAGCTAATTTGTAAGTTCTTGTACTCTGTCCTGGGGCAGAGTAAAACCAATAAAAACTAAAACAGAAACGACCTAATTCAATTTGCCAAGCTCGGCCCAACTTACTACCGCCATCTAGACAGAAGTAGAGATACTACATCGAGCTGACAGTCAAATTGTGGGTTTCCATCGGAGCAACTCTGAGTTTGGCATTCGCATGTGCACGTAGCTTGTGCGCTCGCCTAAGAAGAAGAACGCTGTCAATTTTCTTTTCCTTTCTTTCCGGTCTCTGCTACATAGAAGACGCAAAGTACGTTAAATTGCTGAAAGTAATCTTGAAAATTAAACGAAATCCGAGTCAGTGAAGAATAAAAAAGTTCAGCAGTGCTGGCGGTGGCATTCACCGGTGGCATTGTTATTCATGTTGTGCTCCTTTTTTGTTTACGTTTCCAAAAAATGTACATTTGATGAAAGCATCTGTACCCCCCTACTCCCAAAGATCGAACAACAACAACCATAACAAAAGCAAACTAATACTTTTTTTTACTCTTTTTTTTTTTTGTTTGTGCAGCATGTTCATGCCAAAGGCCCATCGTGTCGCCATCTACGAGTACCTCTTCAAAGAGGGCGTCATTGTGGCGAAAAAGGATTTCCATGCACAGAAGCACCCAGAGTTGGAGTCTATTCCCAATCTTCATGTCATCAAGGCACTGCAGTCGCTGCATTCTCGCGGCCTTGTCAAGGAGCAGTTTGCTTGGAGACACTACTACTGGTATTTGACCAACGAGGGCATTGAAGAGCTCCGCAGCTACCTGCACTTGCCTCCAGAGATTGTGCCCTCGACCCTGAAGCGCCCCGCGCGCTCTGAGACCGTGCGCCCACGCCCAGCTGCTGGCGGCCCACGCGGTGCTGGTGATGCCTCAAAGACCGGCGAGGATCGCTCGGCTTACAGACGCGCCCCTGGTGGCAGCGGTGTAGACAAGAAGGGGGACGTCGGACCTGGCGCTGGAGAGGTTGAGTTCCGTGGCGGATTCGGTCGTGGCTCGCGCAACTAAAGTTGCAGCGCTCCACCTTTTTTTTATGTATCCATTAAACAAACGAGAATGTTGAGAGGTTCTAATCAGTCCACAACAACAACATAAAAGAAATGTGTACATGTTTTATGATACGAATGACGATAAATTGTAAAACATACGCAAGTGAACATCCAAGTTTTGTTTTATTTTTTTAATGTTAATGTGTGCATCAAGGAAAGGAAATCATCAAGGCAACACAGCCTACCGGCAATTTCCGCGTCGACAAGAATTTCATGCTGTCGTTTCTCTCTTAACAATTGGGAAAGATCGTGAATTTCGCAGCATCGAAAGCAAAGCCCTTTGGCTTTGAAAAACATTGTTTCTCTTATTTTCCACATTGCTAAGACTGGTCCACTGAACCCCAACAGCTCAGACAAGACTTGGCTTGGCCAAACGCAAAAGAATGAATTAGTCGAATTTTGATGATTATGATCATTAACCATTCTCATTTATAATGTGGCCATTCTCATACACTTTAAGAGCTGTATGGTAAATGAACACAACCTGGTGGTTTGTTGCACTGCCAGCAGATCAGAACGATTACATGACTTTTTATTTCTAGTCTCACTGCACTTCCCTAACTTGAAGGGTAGTGGAATACGACCGACCACGGCCATGTTGCTATATAATGTACATTTCTGGACGCTGACTGTGAGGTAATTGCGGCAATGCAAGGAGCCTCTAAAGTATGGAAATTCAATTTAATAAAAAAAATACCAATTCATATAAAATAATGTTTTATTATTTACAGCTTGTTAAAATAAACTTCTCACTTAACCTACGGCTCAGTTCCTACCCAGCAGTATTGTACATCGAAATGCGTGAAAACTAACTTCGGAAAGCCGATGTTTATGTACCCTTCCAGTTCGACTAGTTAATTGATCTACTTAAAACCGAAAATGTGTGATAATCTGATTTCAGCAGGAACTCAGAAATTGAGTTTTTCCAATATCAGCTTCATGCAGGGCGCACAACTTAAAATAAAAAAATTTGGCTATGGAAAAAAAAAAATTTCAACGAAATGAACTGGCAAATCCATTGAATTTGAGTTAAATGTTGATAAGCTGTACGTACTTCATATACTAAAACCGGCCGATTCGACCATTTTCGCTCATTTTCAATAACGAAGGAGAAAAAAAAAGGTAAACCGAAGGCAGCAGGGAAACAGAAAATCGGACTGAAATCGGAGGGGGAGATGCTTCCTATCTGTGCGTGACGAACTTCTGCAAGTGTACATATTTATGTATGTATGTATGTATACTTATATACATGCTTTCTAGCAACTTCTATAACTTAAAGCAACTGATGTGTTGGAGAGCTTATGCTGTGGGATCGAACCAAAACAGTTATTGGCACTCTGCTGGCTATCGACGCTTTATCGATATTTTTCCTTTGGCCAAATGCGACATGTTGATCTTGACCTTGCTCTCGTTCGTACGCTTCACCCAAACCTGAAAATGGCAAGCGATTAGCCAAAAGAAAAGGAGACGCGGCTGACAGGAGTACGTACCACTTCATTACCGATAGCCGTGATGGTTGCTGCAAATTTGCTCAAGTCCTTGCCCTCCACATAGACCTGCTGGCCACGACAGAACCATCGCCGCTCGTAAAGCAACTTGTTGTCCTCGATGCGTGTTTCCACGTAGCTGTTAGCCGGCGGGTCAGTCAGTAGTATGTGCGATTGCTGCTGTTGGGTGCTTGTATAGGAAACAATACCGTTCTGCTGCAAGCTATTTGGACCCAAGGGTTTGCCGCGTTGTATAACCTTGAGATCAGATTCAATTTCCTTGTCGTCTAGCTGATAAACTAGAAGCTGACCGGTGGCTGGTTTTCGACGCTTCTCTATCACCGGCATTGGTTCGTTCGGTCGTCGGCGTAACTTTCGCGTCACCGTCGTTTTAATCTCCATGGAATCGCTGGTCAGCTCCAAACTATACCGTTCGTTTTCGATCAATCGCTTTCGGTCCTCAAAATCTGATATCAAATTGTCCTTAAGATCCATCATCTTCTCGTCATACTCCTTCTGAGCGGCCTTCTTCTCCAGAATATAGTCTCGCTCGACGCATTCGCGCATGTAATCCTTGTATATCTCATTCAACCTACGCCGCTCTTTAAGTTGGTTGTCCAGCTTCTTAACGCGTTTTATATACTCTGGATGGATGAGCTGATTCAGCTCCTCCATTTGCTTTTGCAGATTAAGAAGCTTGTGCTGGTACATTCTGTGAAAAAAATGGGAGATAGGAAGCGAAACAATTGAAATCGCATATGCAGATCGGATATCGCATGTCTCGCACTTACTGCTCTTTGAGCTCGCTGTTGCTGCCAATGTTGTTGTTTGTGCTGTTGTTTGATGTGCCGTTAGTGACACCGTAGCGATTAGGACTGCGGAACTCTGTTTCGCTAGCGTCGTCCGTATCTAAAATTGGAATTTGTAAGCATTTAATGGTTAGTTTTATGCTGAGAAATCGTGTGGTCTGCTTTTGTTTTGGGCAACACAGGTACGCGCTTACCTTCTTCACTGCGCTCGTCTCCAATGGATTCGTCATCATAGTTATCGCGCGTGTAAAAGCTGTAGTAGTTGGACATTGCTTTGTTTTTATTCTTGAACCCGAAGTCTTTTGTAAAGATCTCCTACTATTTTTCAGCAACTGTTTATTTTTTTCAATGAAGCCCGAGGAAAACACACACACACACTTACTTTCTCGTGAATGGGCATTCAATCGATAGTAAAGAATATTTTTTAGAACTAACTATCGAGTCTTATTCGATAAGACATTCAACACATTGTAGCCTAGTACTCAGACGCGCTAAATTTTCCGTCGACCGAATCAGGGATGATATTCGTATGGAAACGATAAGAAATCATCCCTGTCTATTGTTCGACAAAAAATGTAAGGCCTAGTACTCAGACCTGAAAAAACACATCGCGAACAGAATTAGGGTTATTATATATTATGATATTCGTATGAAAACCATAGTACTCAGATCGAAAAAAACACCTAGCGAACAGAATCGGGGTTGATATTCGTATGAAACCGATAATAAATGTTTTACGGCAAAAACTGTTTTCTAGGCTCTGTACGGAAGGCAGTACTCAGATCGAAAAACAAAAAGGTCGGTATATACTGGAAAAGTATCAGAAGTATTTGCTTGTTTTTTTGGTATGTCTCGACCAGCCTCGAAAACGATATCCATTTGATATCTTTTGCCAGCAAACACGAAGCAAATATTGCAATAAGAGAACAAAAAACCAAATGAAATATTTTAATAATGAAGACAAATAGAATCTAATTAATGCAGCATTATATAAAGGACAATTATAGGTTTTGAAAGCAATATTTGTTTTATATTTATGAAAATTAATAAAAATATTATATTATAATATCCATATAATTGTCATTCATATACATAGCTGCTTTAATTAGATTCTATTTTTTCTTCATTATTTATATATTTTATTTGGGTTTTTTTCCTCATATTGCAATGTTTGCTAGTAGAAGTTATAAAATGTATATTATATTTTTCGAGGGGCTAGCAACATACCAACGAGTACCAGACTACCAGATTACAAACCATACAGTATATAGATTTGCCAGTTCATATAACGATTGTGTCGCAGCTAAATGTTCTGTCCCAGGTCCCCAGGTCTTCGGCTCGTGGGGTGTGGACCTGAGACGTTCGGCATTTTTTCGACATGTTCGATTCATGACGAGATGCGAAAGCAAGCCGATAATTGCAAATGTACATATGTGTGTACACAGACACCACAAAATATTTGCCAATGTTTATTTTTCGGAACCACGGTTTTGATTTTTTAGGTTCCAGGTTACGTTAATGTGTGTGTGCCACGCAATCTCACATACTGTGCATGTTTGGGTTCTACAATTTGTGGCGGCTTGAACCAAAATTCGTTTTTGGTTTTGTTGAAATAAATACAATATATAAAAATTAAAAGATGTTAATTGTTTGTTTTATTTGAAATTGCACATTTAAATATACATATCCCTATTTAAGACATGTTTTTTCTAAATTAAATATTGTGCAAATGCCGTTGGCTTTCGACTTTGTCAATAAATTTATATTTATAGATTTATAGAGCTACCAATTTCACCGGTTCGCCATTGTTGATAGCGTCTCTATTCTCCAGCACTCAGTTTCTTTTGATTATGTCGTATGAATTTAAGTCGTTCACTCTATATCTTTGCGTACATGTCGACAATAAATTGTTGGCACAGCTCACAACATCGTAGAATGATGAAGAATTTCACGTACAAAATTTAAAAAAATGAATTTTTGAACATGGAAACAATAAATTTGAATCCTTAACAAATTTCGTAAATTTTTTAGAATCGAAAATTTTAGTAATATTGGGTTAAAAACTAAAATAAAAAGTACCTGTGAAATTATACTTTTTTTTATCTTAAGATAGGCAACAGTTGCTTAAAACGTAACCATTCGCTCTGTATTAAATGTGTAACATATCTACCTAAGTGCCCACTAAGCGGTTTTGCGCCCCGTTTTGTCCCAAGAGTTGCACGTTCAAAGTTGCGCGGCAAATCACAAAAGCAAGTTGTTTTTTTTATTTTTTAGTGTCAAATGTTGGACAGCTGCTTTGGTCAGCTGTAAGCTGTCTGTCAAATGCAATTAATTAGACAAAGTGAAAGATCAACTTTAAGCTCAGCTTTAATTCTTAAATTTAGCTTAGAGAGAAATGGAACCGCTTTAGCGTATGTACTAGTGTACTCTTATGAACGGTGAACGTCTTATTGTGATTCACGTCACTAGATAAAATATATGTTTCTCTTAAATTTGTAATAAATACATATTTTCAATATGTCTTTAATAAGCTCTGATCCAATAATATCTTGCAAACGGAATTTTCGGAAAAAAAATTTCACACATTTCAAAAAGTAGCTTTGTCCCTTTTAAAAGCTTCAGCAATAAATAAATGCGATAACCAAAGTGAAGAAAACGAAAATTATATCGAGTCTGATTAATGTACATATTATTTAAATTTTTGTATTTATAATCTTTGTTTTTATTAATAAACTTTGCATTTCATATGACCCTTTCTTTATTTCAAAGAAAAACGGGTTTTCATGCATTTATAGCATGTTGGCTATATATTATATAGTCCACCGATTCTTATTATTCTTCATGGATATAGTCTAAAAGGATATATAATATATTAGGGAAAATTTCAGCGTTATAAATGATGGAATTCCTATTTTGACTGAAATAAAATATCCAAAAATTAATTTGTACTTTTATTGAGCTGAATGAGAAGTGTAAGTGTGTATATGACACTTGTTGCTAGCAAAAATAGTGACGCAACAAACTTAGAAAAGTCTATTGTCATAACATTTTAACTCTGCTGCAAAGAGAGCGACAGCATGAGACACAAAATGCAAAATGTTTGTTCGTAGTCGTCTCTAGAGTCTGGACACTTCTAATGGCTTTCAGTCGAACAACTGAGGCACTACTTAATACAAAATTATGTTTTCCAGCAATATACAACCACCAAGCCAGCAAAATTGTATCCGCAAGTAAAAACAATCGATTAATCGCGAGTAGACACTCCCAGCTCAACTGGAAAGCCAACTGGAAGCATATATTTATCTCGCTTTGACTGCAGACATAAGGCCATCCCTATTTTTTCAGTTAGTCAGTTAGCAAAGTCTAATGTCATAGCACCATTAATACCACTTACTAAATGGCATGTACATATGTATGTACATATATAATGGGGCAGTTCAAAAAAGCGAAACGTCCCAACGGAGGTTGGGACCCCTCAAGAGGTCGCAGAGGTCTTGCTTCCACTCTGAGAGAGCTTTTAATATATGATATACGAATATAAAGCCTCCGTTTATTATTTTCGTTAACAAATACATAAGCAAGCTGTTTTCAAACGCAATAACGCAACTTATGCCAATATAATATGTATATCGACTCGCACATATGTATGTACATATGTATAGATATGCATACATTATGGAAACTCGGAAACTACACGAATTGAATATATCTCTATATATGTACATATGTGTATGTACATATCTGAGTATCGGTAATTTATAAATACATATGTGCAGAAGATTACTACTGTAAAGATCCCTCAATTTCGAATTGAATTTGTACATATTACATAGAATTAAGACGAGTAATTATAAAGTTTGATTTACGTTTTCGCTGCCTGTAAATAACTATTTGTACATTTCACACCCACATGTACATATGTATATATGTGTGGTATGAATGCAATGCGTACTTTTGTTTTGAATATTAACAGCAATTGCTGTTTGCCCGCAGTTGCTTTCGTTGGCTGACACAAATTTCCGAGCTGTCGTCATGGGAGAACGATGCTAATGGATGGCGACTCTCCGTACGCCCACGTACACGGAGATATCTGCTGGCTGCGCTATTCGCCCGCGCTAAGAAATTTATATGTACATCAGACGGAAATTCCATGCTAAATCATCGCTGGCAAATTTTGATGGATTTGTGCATGAGATGGTGGCGTCTGGGAGTGCACAGTGGGCTCATTTATATGTGGATAGTGCCCAAAAATACCCATCGACCCATCAGTATACTAATTTTACTGAGTGGTCTATGAAGTGTAAAACGTATATGCGAAAATGAGCATGGCCCACAAAATAATTTTTTCAGAATTTTTCTTAGCTTATATGCTATTTAATTTACGATGTTAATTTTGTAGTAAAAGAATAAATAAAAGCAATAAAAACTCTTCAATATTTGCTTCTGAAGATAATAATAATATTATTAATATTAATATTAATTATCCATAATTTTATCCAAGTTTAATCCAAATAACTTTTTTACAATGTTTAAGTTATTAAAGACAAACACGACCAGCGTGCTTCTGATTCTGTACAAAGCATACGAACATTCGGGCACACTTTCGATGCTATTTATAGAAAGTACCGTTCAAACCTAAGCAAAATCCGTATGGCATTGTAAAGTTTGGACAGTTTGCATATTTAAAGATTAATTTTCTGATTTTTGGCCTATGGCAAGCACCCACTGTGACTAATACATACATATGTAGATCTGTGGAATAATTTTTCTTTCTTTCGTCTTGTTTCGCGAATTCCGCTGCAATGATTTTGATGACTACATACGAACATATGTTTGTAGACCAGGCCATTCGAAGCTCGAAAGTTCGGGTGTAGCGGGGAAAATTTGTTTTCGGCAGCACCAAAAAATATTTGTACATGCATACAAGCATAGATATGATGAATATATATGTATGTACATATACGGTGATCGGCACAGTGATCCTCATGAGGCCACACATACACAACAGATGGTCTATAATTATGTGTCTATGTACATATGTACATGTACATTTGTATACAAAAATATGTACCTAAAATGTATGGATGCGTTGTAGTCAGTCTCTGTTTTCTTGCTCATTGCTGCTGTTTTAGCTTTTGGCCCGTTGTCTCAATTGAGATTTTGTCGTCTTCAAGGTCGAAAATTTCGATGAAAATGAGTTTATTGTTTGGACAGGGGGCATTAACATTAACGGCCACGTCCATGTGGGCGATGCCAAGACCAAAACACCTTAGCCACAGCGGCAGAAACTGCGCCAGCGACAGATCTGATCTGATGGGGGATGATTGTCATTTTATTTTTGTAATTCATGACTTAATCTATTTATATTTTGATGGACTGGTTTTCGTAGCGTCCGTTGGAACTCAAAATGAAAACAGGGATGATTGCACATTCTTGTATATGTATATATGTTGTATATATGTAATTATATGTATATATATATTATGTATACATGTACATATGTATGTATGCGGTTCACAAATAATTACTACAGCATCACTGCTGCAGTTCCAGTTATTGACTTTCCGTAACCGTCACTCCATAAAAAGAAATATCGGTGCACGACTTAAGATTCTCGAATGACCGCCAGTATCGCCATTTAATCTCCTCGATTTGCATTTGTTTACTATCAAATCGAAACAGAGTGCAACGCCAACGCTACGGGCATCTCTGACCAATTTGAGAGCTGGGAGTTCTGCTAGCATTACAAACGATCTCGTTCTCTGCCCTAAAACGGCGCGAAACGGTTATACATATGTATAAATGTCATTGTCATTGCCACGCAAAACGTACATACACAGCATCCTACGCGACGGTCATCAATAACAGCTACAATGTCAGTTCATCTATAACTCTTTGCCTGTTTTAACTGGTGATGGGTGAAACAGAGTTTGGTATGCACTCGTATGCCTATATGGACACATATGGAATGCAAATATTGTATGTACAGCTGTGTTCAAAGAAATAGTAGTGCCGGACTTCACCACTTTCAAAACTATTTTTTGTTACATTGTTTCAAATTAAACTAGTGATATCTTTTTGGATAGACTGGCATGTAAGCATTCGAAAACTAAATCCCGTTATATTGGCATTTTCTGGAAAAAATAATTTTGTATCAAGTAGTGCCTCAGTTGTTCGACTGAAAGCCATTAAGTCTAGAGACGACTACGAATACCATTGTTGCATTTTGGCTTTCATGCTATCCCTCTCTACGCAACAAAAGTGGCTAAGTCTAATGTGATATAGCTATAAGTGGACAAAGTACCTTGATTTCTCGGTATATTTATGGTATATTTTGAAAATGAGAATGTATATTTTGGTATATTTCTGAGGGTCAAGCGGTATATTTGATCGATAAATCCGCGGTCACACTGTACGGCACTATAAAAGCGTCAGCACGAGGAAAATGCGGAGGAAAGTTTGAGAAATAATAAAACGCGGCAAGTTGTGCGACACTCTACCACGCATACACGCGCATACATATATAATATTGAACAATATTTGTGCTGCTTACTTTTTTGTTGTTGTTTGCTTCGTCAAGTCGGTTGATACAAGTGCATAAACAGGAAGTTCTTCGGTCCAAAGCGAAGAAAACACCTCCAATCCACAGAAGCAGAAGCAACAACTGTATTTTTGTTGATAACAGAAACCAGAAGCTATTTGAAGCTCAACCCAATCACCACAGAAAATCGAAGAAATCAAAAATGGCCGAGGCTAACAAGAGGAATATCCCCATCAAACTGGGCGACTTCAGCGTCATCGATACGGAGTTTAGCAACATTCGGGAAAGATTTGACTCCGAAATGCGCAAAATGGAGGAGGAGATGGCCAAGTTCCGTCACGAGCTGATGAACCGGGAGGCAAACTTTTTTGAGTCCACAAGGTGAGCTCCTCGCCTTTGATTTTTATATATCAGGGCTGCCGGCAATAGACGGTTGGCAAGCCAAAGAAAAATAATGGTACACATATCGTCTTATATACATATGACATACACACTAAATATGTAAATTACGTAATGCCGTACAATATTTATTTAATTTTTTTGTTTTTAATTTCCAATATTGTGTGTGTCACGGTGAGAAGGGGTTCCTTTGGCTGTTATGTCTGGCGTGCCAAGGGTAATTGGTTACGGGCCACAGAGCGCGTCTGAAGTAGCACCAAACTGTACGTATGCGCGTGGGTATGTGCGGAAGCGAAGTGCCCTGTTCACGCAGGTGTACGCAGGTGCTCGATGGCAGTGATTCTTGTGATTCTTTCTCGGTGGCCAGTATCTTTTCGACTGAAACAAATTCATCTCATATTTCCTTGGCCCTAAATATAGGCACACTTCTTGCCACCCCGACCTTCTGGTTGTCTGGAACACATACACACGCACTGGGCTAAGGCAAGGCCTTTTCTTTTTTTTAGGATGAGTCATCAATTAAAATTCTCCCTTGCAGTTGCTGTCCGCCGACTATCCAACCCCACATGTATGTATTTGGCGTTCCACCCGCCCTCATCACATCAGAACACACCCACGCAATACAAAGCGATTTGGTTGGTGTTGCCTTATGATAGATCCGATCCCCGAAATATATGTATACTTACATTTGTTTGTATGTACATACTCGAGGCCGTTCTTCTGTGGCTAGAAAACGACCGGGTCAGCTTATGTTTATGCAACCGTTATGCGGCATAACGGAATTCTCTAACGGCGCAGTCTTGTGCATGTGTGTATGCACACTTAGTCTGCAGAGATGCTCATTTTGAGGTGGAATATTCACTAAATAAACACAATGCTGCCACTACAGTTTAATAGAAGGTTGCAAAAATGTTTAAACTTTAAAGAGTTCACGTCAAAAAATATATTATTTACCGCAACGGACGCGAGCAACCCTGCCCCCGCTGTCGTTGAGGTTGCGCGCCTGGCTTGCCTTCTAATCTGCCATCGGTAACTGTGGCGTTACGTTGCGTGGGGTGCTACTGAAGTTACAAATCGTAAGCGGCTTCACTCCCCATGACATAATCGATATTCTTTCCGCTCGCTGTTGTTAATATTGGCGTTGCCGTGGATGCCAATTCATTTGCATAGCCACGACAAAAATTAAGACTCCATTCTAAACCAAACCTTTTCTGCTAGACATGGCAAACCGACACCGAGCTACGACTCCCCACCGTCTCATCCACAGCTGCTCAACTTTCTCGAAGGGCGGTCGAAAAAAAAGGAAAATTGGTCAAAATTGATTTGTCCATGCAGTCCCACCTGTGCCTGCGCGTACATACATACATGTGTATGTATGTCTGCTTGTAGCTCTACCTGTAGGTGCGCTGGGTGATGACGGACTATAAAAACAAATTATTGATGCGTGGCGACCTCTGACATCTGCGGCTAGGTGTGTGTCGATAAATAAGCAGCAGGCCACATGGATGACTCACAGAGTCCAACTCCAAAATCATTTCCCAAATAGCACACAAGCCCCCGTAATTTCCGAATACATTCCTTCTCCACTAAAAGTTATGTCAGATGTACATCATAGCATGTATGTACATAGTAACCACCAAACAGATACATAGGATAACAAAATTTGGTTTGAATTTGATCTGTTATCATCTTGCTGGACAGTTACACCAAAGACAATGCATACGCTTGCATTTATTTTGGAACTCGATTTTTTCCGGGCTCTAGAGCTGGCTCTTGAAATGTGGTTTAAAAAGCCAGAGAGAGAGAGAGAACTCTAGAGTCTAGACTCTAGACCCAGCAGCCGTTCTCTCCGATGCATTTAGCCGATGACAGTTTTTGTGCACACGTATTCTAGAATTCTCAACCATTCTAGATCGCCACGTATCTTTTTTACTGCGCTGGTCGAAATTTACCCTTCACGTTATAAGTGCTATGTCACTTTTGGAAGACGATTTCCCCTCAATTAAAAAAAAAAAACTATTTATTTTTAAATGTTTAATTTAAAAATTATTTTTCTATAGAATATATGTACGATAATAATGATTGGATATATACATGTAAGAGTACATAATCCGCTATGCTCCGGTTTTCGTATTACGTATTTGCGACTACGATTTTGAAAAAATTCGTACGAATTTAAATTGTGTGCGCTCCGGGTTTCGTAACTTTTTCCTATCGATAGTTTTTCATTCCAAAATTGTTTTGCGATGTTTTTCTTGAAAAAATCTTTGGTTTGGAAATGGAAATAGTTAAGTTAAATATGGCATCGTTTTGGCAATCGCATTATATTACCATTATAAGAAAAAAAAAAAAAGGGGAATTAAGAACAGGCGACATTTTTCCACTGGCCGTTGTTGATATCGATATTTTATCATTCAAAAGGAATTCGCACTTTGTTGTTGCTTAGGTTTATTTTGGTGAGGTTAAATTGGGGGCCTTTAGAACTAAATTTATTAAATATATTAGGATGTACGTGGGCACAGCAAATGATTTGTCAAAATTTAGATGTGCACGAAATTTATTTAATCAAATTGGAGTAGGGGACGAAAATCCTTTTGCGAATTTAAGCAGTTATTCAATATTCAAATTAATACTAAGTATTTAAATATGAATACAGAGAATATAATTATTTTATTATCCAACCAGTCAAATGCAAAATGATTTTAAAAGAGGAAATTGCTTATTTGTAAATGTTTACGTCTCGAAAATCGTCTGCTTACTCAGGTTCTGTGCGGACTCACACATGCAAACGCATTCTATTTTTAGATTTGTACGTTCTCAAATTTGTGCGAGCGAGATGGCTCAGGAATATGAATGTGTATGGGCGTTCTACTCATCTTACTATTATATTGTCTTTGGTCACACTTTATTTACATTTAGTTTTTTTCTCAACATGTTGGCCTCAAAAGGTGCTCTTGCTCTCTTTGTGTGGTGCAGGGTTCGTTTTGGCTTTGACGATCTTGTGTATTTAACCCAAATCTGAAAATCGTTACCACCCTAGCATGTACAGTGAGTGGGATGACCTTTCTGCTTAAGAACAGCGGAGCAACCCTTTGGCATTGAATCCACAAGACGTGCGCACTGTTGAGGGGTGATTTTCTTCCACTCTTCTTGCAAAATTCGCCACAAATCGTTTTTATTTGCTGGTTTTTTTTGGCCAACGACTTGTTTAAGAATTCCCCACAAGTTCTCTATAGGGTTCAAGTCGGGGCTCTGCGGTGGCCATTGCAAAACATTGATTGCCTCTTGGTTAAGCCACGACTTGACTATCTTGCTGGTGTGTTTCGGGTCGTTGTCCTGTTGAAATATCCAGGCAAGTGGCAAATTATCGGCATATTCTCCAGATAAATTGTTAATAAGGATGTCCCTGTACATTTCGCCGTTCATAATGCCTTCTATCTTCACTAGGGGACCTACGCCCGATGCGGTGAAACAGCCCCAGACCATAATCGAAGCGCCACCATGTTTAACGGTCTTCTTCGTGTATTTGGGGTCCAATTGTTTGTTTGGAGGACGTCGTACATATGGTTTACCATCACTCCCAAAGACATTAAACTTGGATTCGTCGCTCCAAACAACCATGTTCCAAAAATTGGGACCTTTTTGAATATGCTCTGTGGCGAATTGAAGGCGCTTTTTAACATTTTTAATAGACAGCAATGGTTTTTTTTGGGCAATGCGTCGATATAACCCGTATTCATTTAGCCGTCTTCTTATGGTCTGAGATGACACATTCACGCCATAATCTGCCACCATTTGACCTTGATTTGCGTCGAAGTCAAGAACGGATCGGCTTTACTGAGTATGTATATGAGCAGAGCGCAATACTACTTTTTGACATTTAGTCAATTTTTTGGGAACCCCCGAATTCCTACTTGTCATTTTTTACTGTGATCAGCTGCTTAAATAACAGTGTTGCAAAATGTAAAAATTTCAGGCCGAAATAAATATGTTCAAAAAAGTTATTAAGAAAACAGTTTATGTTAGTGGCAGTGGCTTAAGTCTATGAGCACAACTGTATTCAGTCCGAAACTTGCTTTTCTATTCGCTGAGTCGTGCCATGAGTATTCAAAAAGAAGCGCTTCTAGCTACATATGCACATATCTCCACACTTGTTAATTCCGCCATTAAAGCGCTTTTAGCGATTCAATTGTAATTGAAAATCAAATGATTTGATTAGCAGATTACGTCGGATCCACACGACTTGCACATACCAATTGTGTTCATAGTATATTAAGTACATACAGCTGTGGTCATATAAATAGCACAAACCAAAACAGAATGTATCGATCAATCATTTGGACAATATTTTACATCCGATTTTAAACATTTTTATCACAAATGATTAGGGCACTCATCCACATGGTATACAGGCCAAATTTATCGTTATCATTTTTCTCTTTTGCTTTATGCTTATGCTTTCATTCGCGTGCACCTTTTTTGCATGGTCACAGAAATATAACATTTTGATGACGCGGCAGCTATTTTCGAGTAAAAAGTTGTTTTCGCAGAATTCTTTGTTTGATTTTCAATATTTCGGTAACGAATTGATATAATTTATCGAGAACGTGAGTCGTGGAAGCCATTGATCAGTTGAAAAAAGGAAGATTATATTCACACTAAGTGAATCTCGAAAAAAAAACCGTCTGAAATAGCTGAAATAATGAAAGGCTCCATAAAGATGTTGTACTTCGTACTTAAATTAGTGAAGTTAAGCCCAACTTATTTAAATGATAAAAAAAATCGTAAGAAAAATCCAAGGAAAACGGATTCTTTGACGGATAGGCTCATAGTGTGCAAGAGCAAAGAGTGTGTCAAAACGAAGCATCAAACAAAGATTGAGTTTCGCACGGATACTCGGAGATAAGAGTCTGAATTATTGGAAAAATTTGCTATGGAACGATGAAACTAAGATAACCGAGAAGGAACGTGTGAGTCGCTTC